TAAAAATGAGAACAAAGACCAGACTTACTGCTCTGAAAGAGCCTAGAGGAACTTGGGCCCCTTTCCCTGAGACAGACAACCCTCAAACCTGAGCTGAGGATACTCCTTGAGGCCAACTCACAGACAGGGCTGAGAAGCAAACAACACGCACAAAGCATGTTGCTCCTTAGAACAATCAACTCCAGGAGATCAAAAGGGCGACATTTGCCAAAACCAAAGATGAGAAGGGAGGGAGGGTCAGAGAAACCGAATGAGCTGAAATGGGGAACCCAGAGAGGAAGTGGGGGAAGTGCTGACACATTGTGGGAATTGCAATCAATGTCAAGGAACCATTAGGGTATGAACTACTGATTGGAAAATGAATTTGCTCTGCACACGTTCATCAAAACGAAAGCAAGGCTGATTAAACAGTTTCCACTTTCAACCCCTTTCTGCCTAAGAAACACGGACAGGCGTTGCCAAAGACACCGCGGAGTCATGATGCGTTGGGTTTTGAATTAATTTTTGGTCCTTGTGCGTTCAGAAGTGGCTCACTCTGGCCAAATTTTCCGTGACCCTCACATTCAGTTACAGACCCCTAAAGGGGTCGCGACCCACAGGTTGAGAACCACTGCTATAGCGCTTCCCAAAGGAGCCCTGGTGGTGCTGTGGGTTGTTGGGGTGTTGGGTCGGTGGTTCAGATCTCCCAGCCACTCTGAGGGAGGCAAACGTGTGCAGCCTCGCAGACCCTCACTAAGGGTTTCCTTCCATGAGTCGGAATGGACTCTGGTGTGCTTTCCAGAGCAGCTGGGGGATTCCAGCCACCGACCTCTTGGTTAGCACTCGCAGGCTTAACCACCCTGCCACAAAGAACATCTTCAAGCTTAACTAGGGAACCGCACTCCCCTATGGCCACCTCCGAACGGAGGACTCCCAGTGCAGGCCAAGGACCTTTCCCATCTGGTCGTCAGCCCTCACGGGAAAGAAACGGTGGCTTTTCCATTTCGCTGGTTAGGGGCTGACTCCTGGCAGGAGACTTACCTGTCCCTGGCCCACCTGCCCTCCTTCTGCCTCCCCAGGGGGATCCACCACTCGGGGGTGGGTGAGGTCACACCTGCTCCGTGGTAGGCTCTCCCCTAAACATTTTGAGCAGCTAAGATTCTTACAACTGCCTTCCAGGGCGCAGCCATCCTAGCGTTTACAGGTGGAGGGAGTGAGGCGCAGAGAGGCTGGCGCCCCGTTAAGACCCCCCAGCTCCCATGAGGTGGGCCGGGCACTCAAGCCCCGAGCCCTCAGCTCTCCCACCCCGCGCCCTGCCGGGTGAAGGGGCTACCTCATGGCCACGTTGCTGCCGTCGATGACGATGGGTCTCAGGGCCCCGGCCTGGCCGTCGCAGTCCTCGTCGGGGCCGGCCCCTGGCCTGCCCGGGGCCGCGCAGGAACCCCGAGGGACGAGCAGGGGCCCCGCGGGCCGCTCCTGGGCCACGGGCCGGCTGCCCGACCGGATCAGCTCCCGCAGCACGTCGTTGACCAGGGCGCCCTCGCCCAGCGCGCCCAGCACCCTGAGCACGTCCTCCTGGTCATAGCCCAGCTTCTGGAAGAACTCCATCTTGTTCAAGGGCTCCATGCTGTGCCCGCCTTGCTTTGGGGGTGCTCCGGCCCCGGGCTTCCTGCGCTCTGGTCCCCGAGGGCATGAGCTGGAGAGAGAAATCGGCTGTCAGGTGTTTGCTGCCAACCAGTGGCACCTCCCCATCCCAACACCCCCCAGTCTGCCAGGTCCAAGGCCGGCCCCCTGGGGGCACTGAGTTGCTCCGCGTGGTTGGGGAGCTCCCCCCAGGAGGTCAATCTCCACCACCCGGTGTGCGGCCTTGCCCCCAGCACAGCACCCTTCTGCCCCACCTTCCAAACACCAGGCTCAGGGTTGGGGCCAGGCAGCCCGGCAGATGCAGGGAGACACACCAGTGCGAATCTTCTGGAAACAGGAGTTGGAAACGACTGTGTGGCAGTGAGTCTGGTTTGGGCAGGAAACATGGGCCTGTTTTCTTCACTGTCAGAAAAGATCTCGGTGGTTTCCAACGCATTTTAAGATACAGAGACCGGAGGAAGTGGGAAACACGTGGAAGTACAAGGGCTAAGAGGAAGCACCCCGAAGCCCACTTGCCCCTAGAGCACTCCTTGTTTTGTTGTTGTTGTTTCCCAATTGTATTAGTCTCTTTATTTTTTTGATAATTTCTTCCATTTGTAGGTGCTGAAATGCTTAAGGATCCACTTCATGGCAATACAGGAGGGTGGAGGGAAAGTGGGTGGAAAGGGCGAACCGATCGCAAGGATCTACATATAACCTCCTCCCTGGGGGATGGACAACAGAAAAGTGGGTAAAGGGAGATGTCAGACAGTGCAAGACATGATAAAATAATAATGTTTTATAAATTATCAAGGGTTCATAAGGGAAGGGGAAAATGAGGAGCTGATACCAAGGGCTCAAGTAGAAAGCAAATGTTTAGAAAATGATGAGGGCAATAAATGTACAAATGTGCTTGACACAATGGATGGATGTATAGATTGTGATAAGAGTTGTATGAGTCCCCAATAAAATGATTTCATTAAAAATAAATAAATTATGGATAGATAGATATAGATATTTTAAGGATCCACTTCAGATGCTGGCACTGCTAAGAACATGGTCGCTCCCTTTATTTAAACTCAAAATTAAGCCTTTGGATTCTTGTCTCTATTCGGATCCCCGTTGTTGGCTGCAGCGGGCCTTTGGAGACAGCCTCACAGTGTAGCAGTCTACACATGGCTCTGGCTTCTCCAGGAGCACTACAAGGTGAATTTAGTTTACTGATCGTCAACAGGAGGCATTTTATTTTTAGACAACCTACACGACATGTTTTGTGTGGGGTTTTTTCCCTTAAAAAAAAAAGCCTCCGCTCCAAATAAGTCAAGGTCAAAAGTAAATAAAGAGCTCTGGATGACATCAGTTCTGTTTGTCTAAGTCCTGGTGTCTTAGCGGCCGTTTAGGATGAGGAGATGGTCCGTCGTGAGTTGCCCACCCTGTTAACATTTCTCCATCTCTAAGCCATCCTGAAAGATCATATACGGGGTCACACCATCCTCTCGGTAGTCCAGCAGAGCAATCGTGCCATCTGGATTCATGTTCTCACCAATAGAGAACTGGTAGTTTTTGAAATTTGCAAGGATGTGCTTGGTTTGTTCTGCAGCCCCTGTCAGAAAAGGCTTTACGCTTTCTGGTTTCTGCTCTTCAAGTTGGCCTTTGATTGATTTCATGTCGTCTTTGATGTACTTCTCGTAGACTTCTTTTGTGAAGCTGGTTTCCTGCAAGTGATGACTCATGACAACGTCAACACCAGGGACCACTGTGCTTTCTGTTTCATCGCCATTGGGGCCTTCAGCTGAGGCATTGCCACCCATGAGGGAGTCATCGATGTTACCTTCAGTCCTACGGACCATCTTCCCCTCCACTTCCAGACCCAGCCCTTCTGCAATCTCCTGGATCTTGTAGATGTCAGAGAACATTTCCTGGCTGACGAGGTCCGGGTAGATGATCATGATGGCGGCTAGAGGGAGACAGCGGCAGCGCTAGCTAGAAGGAGCCCGGAGCTCTGAGCGGGCCAAGTGCAGCAGAAGCGGAGCTGCGCTGGGGCAGGTGGGGCAGTGGGGGGGGGCAGCCCCGGTCCTATTTTTAGGAACCCTGCAGCATAGTGGATGACTGGAGGTCTGCAATTCGAAACCACCAGCTGCTCTGAGGGAGAAAACGAGCTTTTATTCCATAAGTGGCGACAGTCCAGTAAGTAATTCTACCCTATGGGTCAAAATTGAATGGATGGTAGTCATTTTGCGTTGGGGGGCGGAGGGGGGTGGTGGTTCTAAATGTATGCCTTTGTTTGTATTCAATAACTACCTGGAACCCTAGAGCAAGATGGGGTACTTACAGAAGCTGGACCACATATCCTCATGTGTATACGAGGGGGGCTTCCAAAAGTTCGTGGAGAAATTCCCTTATCTTTCAATTCCATTCTTCCATGAACTTTCAGAGGCCCCTCAACGTTTTGCTTTGTTATCGTTGCGCAGAGGAGTCGATGCAGGCACATACCAGCTCCGTGCGACGGAGTCCAACCGGCCCATGGGGTCTCCTAGGCCGTCTCTTTATTAAAGAGGATTGCCGGTCTTTCTCCACAGAGCCACGGGGCAGATTCGAACCTCCCACCTCTCTGTTAGCAGTGGAGTCCTTACCCACTGTGCTCCCAGGGCTCTGCACATAACCTTTCAAGTGCTTTTGTCCACACCACCACCTCATGTTGTTTTATATTGTGATAAAAAATGCACGTAACAAAACATTTACCAATTCAACCTTTTTTAACTTCCCATTCGTGTGAGATTCATCATGTTGCGCAACGTGATCACGTTCCTTTTTCTGGACAACCACGTCACCACCACCAGCCTAGCATGGCTGTGCTGTTTTATTTCTTCTTATGTCAGGAGTGTCGTGCTATGTGCATTACCACCCCTTGAGGTTCCACTGGCCCAGACGGGACAGAGATAGACAAAAAGGTAACTGCAAGGAAAACTACCGATTTTGTTCTATTTTGGAGAAGATCGTGTTCATTTGAAATGTCATTTATGTCCATGTCGCTTATTATGACTTTTTTAAGTAAATGAATATTTTAAAGTCTCTCCGTTTGCGTTTTTCGTAAAGCACCTATCTGGGGGGTGAAGTGAAAACTTCCTCCTACGCCTTCTCGCTGTGTCTCCGTAACTCCCACCAAATCTTTGCGTGAGACGACCCACATGCGGTGGTATAACCCTAATAGAGGGGAGGGCGCAGTCCGGGCTGCCATTCCTTTGCATATAGAGAGCCATCTCAGGCAGCGGTGGGAGAGAATTTCCAGGACCTTCAAGGGAGAAGAGCCAGCAGCAGCGGCGCCCGCTGGAGTGACAGGCCGTGCTACAACTGAGACCAGGGACTGAGGTCAGGAAACCCTGCGGGAGAGCAGAGCAGCAGCACCGAGAAGATGAGCTCAGGGGACAATGAGACCCATGACTACACTCTCAACGTGTTCCCATCCTGGCTTGCAAAATCTGTCCGTGGGTTCTGTATGGCCATTGCAACTAATGATCAGAGACAATGGGAGTGTCATCAGAAGGACGGCTGAATCAGGGGAAGAAAAATGGAGGGTGGAGGTGTGTCTGACCTCTGCCGTGTGACAGTTGACCTTGGGCTGGTGGGGAAATGGATTCTCCATCCTCCTCATGCAGCCAAAGAAGGTCAGACCAGGACACCACACCAGTTTAGCAAAAGTGCTAGGTAGACATAACCAGACATAAGCAAAAGCTCTCTGGGGCACTTAACTAAAACGTTTCTTCTAAAACCCAGAGCACTTTCAATATGCATTCCAGGTAGATGGCCCGCAGACATGTCTCCTTTCTCCCAGGCCCTGGTTCAGAAAGTCCAGTGTCTTTCCCCCTCAATCTGCCCTCTCTCAAATCCTCTCTGACAGTCATCTGCCCCACCAAATGCATGCCTTAAATCCTACACATGCCTAATTCATTGCAACACCCTCCTAAGGATCACCCTGCCTCGGTCTCATCCAGCCCAGCCCCCTGTATAGCCGATATTGTCTTTCTAAAAACTACGTCTAACCATGACCGCTCCCCACACCTTCTGCTTAGAAATATCTTCTCATCTCTTGTTAACTACAAGAAAGAAATCAAACTCCCTGAGCAAATTACTCCGGCCTGGGCTACCTCAACACCCACCAATCCCCACCTAGTCCTTTCTCTAGAGCCGTGGAGAATCTTTCCCTGTCCTCTGAATAGTCTAAAACATTCTCATTTCTGTGCCCTTTTTTGCTTTGGTAAATTCATCTCAGAATCCCAAGGGGTCATCCCTGCCCCCACAGGGAGCGAGCGGTGGCCAGCCCTGTCCTCCCATCTACCATATGACTGTGCTCAACTTTTGTTATGGTCGGCTGTCTCTTTCTCAAGAGAAGCCGGACCACTCGTGATCCCCAGACCTTCTCCTAAGAACCACCAGCACCTGGCAGGATGCTTCGTCTTTGGAAGGAACTGAATATGTTTTGTTTTGTTTTTTAATTCATGTCTAAATCTGATGTTATCTTTCTGCCTCAAAAACAATTGTTTTTCCTTTCATTCTGGCTGTCATTGAATGGCATCACTGAGAGGTTCATATAAGACATTTTGATACATTTCACTTTTTTGCCAAGTCCCTCTGGTCCGTGCCTCCCTTACCCTCCCTTCTACAGCCACTCATTCATTCATTCTTTTTCCATGGTCACGCTCCTTCCCCTTCCCACTACCACCGCGCCGCCTCATTCAGCCACTCATTTAACAAACACTAACAGATCACCCATCAGGCAGTTCTTTTTTTTTTTCAGGCAGTTCTAAAACAACAAAATAACCTAATTTCTCTTAAATCACAAGCTCTTCGGGAAAACAACAAAGACTGTCAACCCACAAGCCATAAATAAGGACAAGCCCGGTGCTTTCCATTTTGAAAGTGAGCGTTCAAACTATAGGGGAAGGAATGACGTGTCTTCCTTTGAGAGGAAAGGAACGATCGTAAAAGACCCCTAGAACCATGGCGCCTATCTTCCCACCAAGTGTAGAGAAAATGTCAAGTCTTCAGCAAGACATGCAGGGTCCTTCACAAGCAGACCCTGGGCTACCCTCTATCTCATGAGCCACCCATCTTGAATCCAGTTTCACCTCTACTCTTTAACTAGTGACTGACTAGTCCTTCTCTCTCAGAACAGCTGTCCCCTCAGGATGGGGGTCCAACTGGGGTCCAATTTCCAGGGAGGAAAACAATGCTCACTGCCTAGCAGGCCAGCGTCACACCACTGCCCGATGCCCCCTGATCCCTCAAGAGCCATGGACTCGCAGGCCCTTGGCCTTTGGTTGGCTCTGCCCTCTGCCCCCTGCTCCAGCAGACCTACCGCGCAGCCACGTTCTCCCAAAGCCTGCCCACTATAGGCCTTTCTGCATGTGCACCTCCTCCTTCCCTCCCTCCCTCCCTGTACCAGGTATAGGCGTTTGGAGGGGAGGGAAGAAGGGGGGTGAGAAATGGCATGAACCTATCTGTAGGGTTCCACATCATTTTCACGTTGCCAAAGACCACCCACCCCGATGCCATCGAACCTCTACCCTACCGGACGGATCGAGAGGCTGTAAATACGGGAGCAGACAGCAGACAGATGACCTTCATGTAGGGACTTTTATTTGAACTGCCATTTATCACTCATGGATAGACAGGGTAGGTCAACGTAGTCCCTTTTCACAGGTGGGAAACTGAGGCTTAGAGGGGCACAGAGGTGATGTGACCCATAAATGGCAGAGACTGATAGGCAGCCGAGGCCGGATATAATTTGTTGGTTCGAGGGTGTCGTTTTGCTTTGTTTCGCGCAGTCAGGAAAGAAACAACATCTGGTTATTGAAAACAAAAATAAAATTGGACTGGGTCAGGGGACTTCTCTGGTCACAGGCCCTCCTGCAGCAGCTCCGAGGAGAGTGGCACTCATTCTGCACCACCGCCCGCTGATGTGGCACGCACGCACAAGCCTTTTCAACACGGAAAGTGACCTGGAGGAGGGCCTTGGGAGGCCTTCAGCTGGGCAGCTGTACCAACCTTCAAGCTATAAACTTGCAACTCACTTTCCTTGTCTGCGGAGCCTCTGTAAAGGCTGGATGAGCTAAGAAGATTGTTAACGCAAACTTGCCTGGGGAGGAGGGAATCGCCTACCTCAGAGACCTTTTTCCCTTCAGACTCTAAAACCAACTTCATTTCCCTGTAGATAAAAGAGACAGGGGGGATGAGGGGGCCGCAGGGGGGGGTGCTCCTCCAGTCCTGGCCACAAACCTCCTCCCACCCACACCCAAAACACCACGGTCACAGTCACTTCTTCCTTTCTATATTTAAGACCTGAAAGTATGAAGCATGTCATTACCATTTTCATCTGCGCTCTTGCCTGGAAGTCACAAACTGCAGAGATCCTTCGAAACGCTCTGAAAACTCTGCCCGAGAGTCTGCAGTGGCCACCCCAGCTGACGCTTTCTGGGCCTGGGGTTCAAGCAGCGGGAGAGGGGTGCCTGGTGGAACCCTGCACCTTTGGTTAAGCGGGCTTCACAAGACAGAGGGAAGGGGGCAGAGAGAAAGAGAGAAGACATTTTCCACAGGTCTGTTCTAGAATCATCCAACCGGGTTGATGATCCCAAGCCCAAACTCTGTCACCCCTGACTGGAAGGGCCTCTGAGGAAAAGAGTAACAGAGAAACAGAAAGGGGAGTGAAGGAGGAGACAGTGGGCGGGGGAGCTATGGAGAGAATGCGTATCTCAGATTCCCGCACACTCTATCGTTACACAGTGCCTCCTCACTGGTTATCTTTGGAAACCCAAATGTCTCTAGGGGGGTCGGCCACATGACCAATGTTTGAAATGAGGAAGGGAGCGATCTGGGTGATTTTCCTGGGGCTGCACAGCGGGGAGAGACTCTTGGAAAGTGCAGCTCAGGGGCTGCTCAGGGCACGGCCACA